GGATTTTCTGACATTTCTTTTTCTTGATTTTCTCGTTTTTTTGATTCATGTTCTTTGTTTTTTTGTTTTCTTACTTTTTACTTGCTGGATTTTAGATTTTTGTATTAAATTGATTTTTTCTTGATTTTTCGAGTTTTAATTTGTTTTTAATTTTTTACTTCTTTTCTTGTTTCGACTTTTACTTGTTCGATTACTTTTGAATTCTTTAATTTTCTTAAATTGATAGTAAGATGTTTCACATCTTGCAGCTGTTCATAAACAGCTGATTTTTTTTAATTTTTTCAATTTTCAATTTGTTTTATTAATCAAATTAGTGCATTGAGCTATTATCGTTCGTTATATCTTAATATAACATGATAATTTCGACTTCCCTTAAGAAGACACACACTCATAGACACGTATACATACATGCAGTAATAAGTATCAGATTTGACAACGTGCAAGATTGTGCATAGTCCCGCGACGTACATGCATAGACAACACATACGTATTATATGTATTAGCGATACGCATAAGCAAGAGAGAGAAAGATATCTCAACGCAGTCAATCTCGTGAGCTGAGCCGACTGCTGTTGCTTATGCTGTTACGTTGCCTCGTGCGTATACGTAAACACAGGCATACGCGCGTCGAGTCTCGGCAGCGGGCAGCAGCAGAAAGCAGTTCTGTAGCTGGCGCGGCAGCCAATCACAGCGCGTAGCGCAACCCGACGCTGTATAGGCAGTTCTACTACCAAAGTTGCGCTCGCTCGGACGGACGGACGGACGCTCGGTTTTTACGGGTTTACCCCTGACACCAAACGCGAATATAGATGTTTCACATCAAAACCACCGTGGAAGATGCTGCGAAAGATGGCCACGGTGGAGGATCTCGCCACTGAGGAGGTGCGACGTTCGTCGACCGTGGGACGCAAAAACGCCGCTTGGCTTGCCACCTGGCCGTTTAGCGGTATAGAAGGGATTCAACGATGATAGCGAATTGGACGGTCAACATGAGCAATCGAGCTGGCGCGATAAACCGATGCAGGCGGGCTGGTCAAGAAAAGCACCAGGGATCTTGCCTCTGCCAGATTAAGCGAGAGCGAAATAGAGGTGGAAATGGGCTCGTATGCTGCGAGATACGGGTTTGACCTTTTCCGGTGTGAGTCTGAGTTTGAGTTTAAAATTTAATTTAACGATGTATTTTTTGGTTATAATAACAATCTCAATTCGTTCGAATCGATGCGTCTCTCGTGAACTGCGCTTGCCGCCTGAAAAATGGTTATGTTGACCAAACACAAAAATTCATGACTTTATTATAATTTATCTCAAAAACGGCTAATTGTACAAAGTTGCGCCAATGTTGACTTTTGCTCAGAAAGTCAAAATCTATCTATTTGCAAATTTTCATGCGATTTGACGGGGACCCACAACCCTTATTTGGACCGAGGGGTAGCACCCCATGAGGCCCAGGTAGAGAATAGTATACATATATCAATGTTTAAAAATATATTTTTTCTTCTCCTCTGACCGAAAGCTCGTTTTTCTTCCCCGATATCGGGGAAGTATATTGTGTGTCCAGACTTAGAATTCAAAAGCCGAGTGGTGTTAGTCGGCTTTTGATACCAATCCGTTATAATATTGTTACCAGCAATGATAAGTGTCAAGTCTAATAGTACTTTACGATACTAGTGGCATAAGTACTCTGTGGCATATTTACTCTGCCGTGCCGTAAAGTGCTACTTATGACACGTGTATCGTTTCCTATTTTATAGTACATGTTGCATAAATGCGCCACCCATGCTGATATGGTAATCGCTCGAGCGAAGCGATTTTAATGTCACCGGGTGATTTTAATGTCAAAGACATATTTAAATTGTCCGAGCGAAGCTATAAAAAAAAATGTCATTATAGTTATTTTATGTATGTGATTTCATCCATTTGTACTGTCACAGAACAAACAATACAACATGCAGCGACAGAGCGCATTTGTTTGTTTTAATGAGCGCCATCTATGGCGCTGAAACTTTACTTGTCTATACAGGTCTGAGTCGTTTGACGTTGTCTCTTGTTCAAGTGCTAGTAAAACGATTTTATACGCGATCCAAGCCATCTTTTTTATTTAAAATCAAAGTGTTATATTTTGTTATATTGTGTTGAATAGCATTGGTGTTAAATAAAAAAATGTATTCCAGCGACGAATCTGACGACGAAAATAATGAGATTGTGTTGAGAGCAATAAGAGAAATTGCGGGAAATGTTTCTTTGAATCTGTTACCCGAACGTTCAAAAAAGAATTATGAAGCAACATACGAAAAATTTAAGATATGGCGTAGAGAAAATGGCACAAATTCTTTTTGTGAAAATGTGTTATTAGCTTATTTTTCGCATTTATCAAACTCTTATGCCCCAACAAGTCTTTGATCAAAATAATCTATGTTAAAGTCGACTATTAGTGCTTATAATAAGATTGACATTGGAAAATACATTAGATTAACTTCTTTTTTGAAGAAGAATTCGGATGGATATATTCCCAAAAAAATCTAATTCCCTCACTAAAGAGTATATTATACAATTTTTGGATACTGCCCCTGTTCATACACATCTGAGTGAAAAGGTATGTGTATTTATTCTCATGAATTTTATCTATAATATATTCCTATCTAATCCTTGTAAATTACTCATTAAAGGTAATACTTATATTTGGGATTTCTGGTGCCATGCGTAGAGGAGAGTTGGTCAACTTAGTGATGAGTAATATTACCATTGGAAAAGATTTTATGCTTGTAAAAATCCCCAGACCCCAAAACAAAAGTCTCAGATCTTTTACCATTGGTGATAATCTGTTTAAAATTTGCAAAAAGTATATAGATGCAAGACCAGTACCATGCAAAACTGATAGACTTTTTTTGAAATATAAGAAGGGTGTAATGATCAGGCAACCGATAGGTATCAATAAGTTTGGAACTTTACCCAGAGAAGTGGCACAATTTTTAGAATTGCCAGAAGCTGAAACTTATACGGGTCACTGCTTCAGAAGAAGCTCAGCTACATTGTTGGCAGATACTGGGGCTAACACATTAATGTTACAGAGACTTGGTGGATGGAAATCTTCAGCTGTGGCTCAATCATATCCATTGCAAATAAAAAAAACTATATAAACAAGTCACCTCTGACATTGATGTGCTTTTTGATACAACTAAGAAGAATTTTGACAATGAAGCACCATCAACCTCAGGCTTAAGGTATCCTGCGCTAGACGTAGCGACTTCAGACAAAACACACTCAAAACTATGCCGTAAAACGCCATCTATGCCACTCAAAAACGTGGCATAAGTGCGCATTTATGCAACGCAGTGCTATAAAAACTTTATCTTGTCGTCTGTTTGGAGTTCACAGGTAAACTTGAGATTTTTAAAAGATATCGCACGAAAGGAGCGATACCGCAGGAAGATATGCTTTTCGCCGTAGATGCATTACTGGTCGGCGAAGCACAGGTGTGGTATGAGAGCGTAGAATACAAATTGCACTCGTGGCAAGACTCCGAACGACGATTTCGACGAAGTTTTACTAGTCAAGCGACACCGACGGAACTGCTCACAGAGCTGCGGCGGCATACACAGGGAAAAGGTGAAGATATTAATACGTATTAAACGAACTTCAGGTACTTGTGTGGTCGTTTTTGTGAGCCGTTACCGTATGAAAATCAGGTTGCAATCGCGTTTAGAGGAATTCGGCCAGAGTATCGTAACTTTATAGCACATAGAGAGATAAACTCTTTCAGGGAATTAGAAAAAGCTGGCAAAGAATATGAGAAACTGTGCTGAATGAACGCTTATTGGCATGAGCCAGTAACGCACGCGAATCAACTGCATCCGAGTGCGGCGTACAAGCCGGTGCAAGCCAAACAGTGCGCAGCTATAGAAGTGGGCTCGCCGATGTTACAGTATAATAATTATAATTAAGTGGTTATAGTGAATAAAAATACAGAAAGAGTTAATTATTAAGTTTGTGGCACTACTTATAGTTACAGTTTCTAATAACGCAACGTTAAGATACTGGGGTCTTTAAAGTGATTTTTCCAATTAAATTTCTACAACCCAGACGAGTGCGATTTTTTATTTGAAATCTCGGACTTGTCTTAGTAATTCATATATTTATTAGGGATATTGGACTTCAAGGGCTGAAATTTTTAGGATATTTATTCATTAAAAATTTTTCAAAAGTATATACTCAGTTTCAATGTTTTTTTTAACGTGTCAAGCTTGACGTGTCAAAATAGCAAACAGACAGATACTTTTTTTCTAAGAAATCTAAATCAGATAAATTGAGTAGGTACGTAGAATTTTTGCAGTTACAATGAGCAAAATATATAACGTTTAAAAAGATTACTGTTAAACCATATTCAATTATATTGTATGTTTGCAATCCTCTCCTTTCCTTAAATTTATTAGAAAATTTATTAGTTTGTGTTATTTAAGTTTTTGGTAAATTTATCAAAAACTTTTAATATGTTTGTGACGTCCTACATAGGGATAATTATGTGTTGCAATGAATATCAATAATTAAACTTATCGTATTTATATATCTATCGAATGAAGGAAAAAAGGACTGTAAAATTGAGAGTTTTGAATAGTTATTTTATGGTCAAAAAATAGATAAAATCTATATGCATAGTAAACGAAACATGAGAGAGAATTTAATAATATTTTTTTTTAAATTCAATTATTTCCATCTAATTCAAATTTATAATCATTTATCAATATAATTAATTTTTTATAATAAAATGAGTTTATCAATTACAAATACAATTACAAAAATTCACAAATTGACGGGAAAATTTTCATTTTCATTGAATTCAATTCGAATGAATAAATTTTCGGAATCTTTTAGGGTACACTATCGTCTTTTTTCGGGTAAAGTCGATATTTGTCGTTTGTGGCGCAAACGCAGTATCATATTTAGAACTTACTGAATTAAAGCTCCTTCATATATATATATATTTCAACAAATTTGTTTTTTAAAGTACACATGTCTAGCAAAAAATGAAATCATTTTGAGAAGCCAAAATAAGTCAGATAATTTACTCATAATTTACGTAATTAATTATTGCAAAAAAAATAATTTTACATTATGTCTTATGGATAGAATATTTGAATTGTTGTTGTTTTTTTATGCTTTAATGCGATAAACAACAGCTGAGAGATATGCCTCTGGGAAAGACTTGTTATTGTCCTGCCACATCAAAAAACTAAGAGAATAATATTGTTAAATCTCAAACAAAAGTCAATTTTGACTTTCATTAATTTCGTACATCTCTTTTGCTTATGTGTAATCAAATTCATTTCAAGAGGCCAGTTTTGCTGAATTATGCCTATATTGAGTGTTACAGGTAAGTCATTAATATTTTATTGTCTTAGAAACATAATACAATTTTTGCGGCAGCTTAGTTTTTGAAATGAAAAAATAATGCTCATCATTTTTTTCATAAAGTAAATGTTTTGTACTGTGTGTATTTTTTTCTTTTTATACTTTCATAAATTCTGCAAAAAAAAATTATTCTGCAGATATTATATTTATTTATGCATTGAATGAATAGTTACTCGGTGACTTGTTTTCTTAGTTCTTTTTTAACTGGGGAAAATAATAATCATTGCTCAAACAATATATTTCAAAATTTAAAAAAAAAGATCATTTCTCTTTAGTAAATTTATTATTTTATGAGAAATTATTCTATTCCTTTATTATTTTAATCATTCAAGTAAATTTTGGAAATGATGCAATAAATTTCATCAAAAAGCTAAAATGGTTCATGCACTTCATTGGCATGTGCTCTATTTGCCTTTGTCAGTCAATTTCAAGATATTCTTAGAGACGTAAATATTTAAAGTGAATATGGTATATGTATGCAACAAGTGATAATTTACATTAAATAGATATCGATTCAAACTTTCCTGCAATGAATTTAGACGTTGTTAACAAAATAAAAAACAAAAATATTAAAAAATTATCGAAACTTGTTTCGTTAATATTTGATGAAAAAAATGTTACTGCCTTAGTTTCTATTTTTTTTCATGATAATTTATACTTTTTTCAATGAGATATAAATTTATAAATAATAAATAATTGAGTATAAAAAATTTACATAATATCTCTACGGTTTTAACTATTTTAAGACGTTGAAACATTATCTGTTTTATGCCTGTACCACATATGTATTAAACATCGAAATACAAGTAAAATATATATTAAACATCGAATTACAAATAAATCGTATACAAGGAATCCACCTTAATCATGCTTAAATCGGTCGCTGCAAATAAAATCTTTCCTTTTAAATGATGTAAACAAAGATTCAGCGTTCAAAATCATTTAGAATATAGGCAACCCTTTTTTGTAACATGTGGCTAATTGATGAAATGTCATATATTTTTGAAGGTGCCTTAAACTTTAAGGTGGCTCATCAGTAAAACGGGTCAACAACAGATGGTTATGAAACTTTACAGAAATATTCTTTATAATTTCAGCATGGGTTACCGTACTAATTTTTAAAAATGAAGCCTTTGAAAAAAGCAAATTTAACATGTGCTCTTATGGCAGGCCATCATAATTTTATACATTTTACGCCATAATTTTTTCATTCAATAACAGATCTAAACCAAAAGCGAATATGTTATGCTTCAAGTCACTACCTTTTTCTCAGAACCACTTTTTCAACTCTTGTCAGCGATTGAGAAAAAAATACAAGTTCGATCTTTATGTTTAATATCTCTTTTTAATCGTTGCAACTTCCTCTAGAACACAAACCTCTGAAAAGTTGAGAAAGTTATCCCCAATTTTCTTTATGAAGGTGAACTCACCCCAAAAACAACATTATTTCAGAAAAACTCGAGCCAAAATCGCAAGAATTAGGAACGGGATAAATAGGCCGGTGCGGAGATTGTTTGTTTTCTTTTTATGTAGAGGGTGTGAAGAGTAGAGCTGGTGAGAGTGAATTGCGTTGTGAGGTGAGTGAAGGAGCGAGTATGATTTAGACAGAGATCTGACATCGTGCCAAGAAGGCAAACACCGCCTGGCAGGCCGGGATGTTTGGCCCTGGTCCTAGTCTAGACTATGAAAATAGTTTTATAATCCTTTAACGTCTTCAGAAACGTCTTCAGAATTTTGCATTAATCTTCATGATGATCTAGATTGAGCTAGAAGGCTTCAATCGAAAACTTGAAACGGTTAAAATTTATTAAAATTTTACAAGGAACTAAAAAAAAATATTTTCAAATTTTTTTACTGGAACCATCGGGTTCTAGGAATCTTTTTTGTTAAAAATAGCATTTTTCGGCTCTAAAAGTTATCACCTTTAATTAGAAAATCTAAAAAATTTGAGGTTATGTATTTTGATGAAAAAAACAAGAAAAAAATTTTTCCAGATCTTTCGTGGCTCCGTATCGTCCTAAAAAAACTATTTTCATTGAAAAAAGAGGTTTTTTGCTTCAAGAGGTGTGTTAGGTAATCTGAAAAAATCTGAAAAAATCGAGATTACATTTTTCAATGCGATAAAAAACTGAAAAAATTTCCGAGTACTATAACGGCTCATATCACCGTATCTCGATTTCCAGAATTTTTTATGATTTTATCTGAAGGCGTGAAGCACTCAAAAAATCTGAAAAAATTCAAGGTTGTTTGGATTGTTGAAAAATATTTTTATGAATTTTTTCAGATTTTTTCATTACTTCAGGCCTTCAGAATAAATATAGATCGAAAATAGACGTTAATACCGTAAGTGGGGGGTAGGAGGGGGGAGGGGGTCAAAAATTTTGGTTTTGGGACCTTTTTACCATGTACTATAATATACCAAAAGAGCGTCAAGATCGATGACATACGTGCGCACGGTTTTGTAAAAAAGTATTATTTTGACCCATATATATAATTGACCCGGTGCACCAAGTCACCGATTTGGCCCTAGCTAAAACTTCTTCAGGAAATTTTTTCTTCTTCATGATAAAGATCGAGAGTATGAGGTACAAAGCGGGTTCAAGTCGACCTGGGGCACTAGGTTATCGATACAGACCTAACATTATCATCCTCAGGAATTTTTGTTAGAAACAGGTAAAAGTGGTCGAGTGGGAGTAGTTTAAGAGGGTAAGTAGTATAAGGTGCCCCAGGTCGATGGAACGTGGTTCATTTCCTTATACTTACTCATTAAAACACAATGAAAATAGGAATTCTCGAGGAAGTTTTTGTACTGGCTGTATCGGTAACCTGGTGCACCAAGTGAACAAAATGCACCGGGTCGCCAAAATAAACCTCTGGACATCTTCCTCAGGAATTTTTGTTTTTCGCATAGTTAAAATTGTTATATGTAAGATAGTGAATAGTATCACATCACACCAACCGCGTACGAGTATAAACCTGCATTTGATACAAAATTTACGCAACGAGTACATTGCTAAGCGATGTACTGTTATAGTCGCATTACGCTGTCACATGCCTCTCTCTTCTTCAGCATGGAGTCCCGATGTGATAGGACACAATACAACATGTCAACTACGCAGCAGCCGCAGCAACGCGCGTTTTTTTCCTACTCCACCCCATTTGCCTACTCATCGGTAGTTGCCGCTAGGCAATGCTTCGGTAAGGCCGAGGTTAGTTGAGCATTTCTGCTGCTTCGATGTTAGTCGTTTCCATACATCCGTGATATGCGATGATTAGGGGTTCAGGGACTCATCTTTCTTCTTGGTGAACCTCCGTACGCACGATGCCATCTCTCGATTGTCGTATCGCACATCCGGAGCCGGGGTTCTCCACTGTGTGGTCACACATTGCCATCGTCTCCTCCTGAGTTGAGTATTTAGAACTCGCTGCCTAGTGCCATCTTGTGAGTGTGGTTCTCGCTTCTGACTTCATTATGGAAATTGTGTGCTTCCCGTCTATCGCCAGTCTTGTAAGTCTTCATCTCAGGCTTCTACTTGTGGTTATCTTCTTCACTTCCAGCTCAGACAGTGATCGGGGGTTTTTACCGGCTTCAGAGGCTGATAGCATAGCCTGGGTCTTTTTTTGAGTGGTACTTCTATTCTCCATCGTCTTTTTCTTACTGCATCGTCCGGTCATCTTTTTCTGGCACTCTCTTCGCCCCTCAGTCGTGTCATGACAGAGTGGGCAAAGAGGACACTTCCAGCCAGTTGGGTTCAGCGTCGAGCATGAACCCTACCAGTGTCTTGGATTCCAAGGGCCCTCAAGAGAGGTGATGAAGCGCCCCTCTTTTCTCCGCGAATCGAGAGAAGTGAAAAGTGACTGGCTCGGCCTTTTCCACCACCAGAGGATACTCCGGGCACAGGTAGGTCACTCGTGTCATTTTTGGCCCAACACAGGTAAGACCTGATTTGGTGCGTCCACCGACCCTTCGTCGAGCAGGTCCATTGGGCCTGCTATTTCTCAATCTTCCTGGCTCGTTCTTCACTCCAAACGTTTTCGAGCCAGTGATAATAGAGCCTCGAGCGTTCGTCGATAAGTAGTGCCAGTGGAGGGATGCGGGCAAAAACGTAAAAGGCCTCGTTTTAAATGCTGCAAAACTTCCCGATCACGGACATAGCCATGCGTCTTTACTGCCTTACTCCCCTATAAGCCATGCCGGGGCACCGAAGAGAAGGATCGATTCGACGACTTTGGCATACAGCCTACTTCGACTGCTCCTTGGACCTCCGATGTTGGGCATGAGACCCAGCAAGGCACCTGCTACCCTGTTTGCCTTGTCGCTGAAAATGTGATGGTGCTCATTGAATCTCAGCCTGGCGTCAATATGTACGCCTAGGTATCGGATATTGACCGGGAGCCGACCTAATGTGTCGGTCGACGTGTGAGATACTCTCACACACTCATCCAAAATAACGACACGCACAAGTTCTATACACTTCTCGGAGTCAGAGCGTGGATTGGGCGGACTCTCTCACTATCGATACGAAGTCCACTGCTACCTAGCACATAGCCTAGAAATTTTATACTTTGACAACAAAATTCACAATTATTTCGATTCAGATAGTAGACGTGTGATATTTTGTTCGTTTGCACAACGGTATATGTTCTCCCCGTACAAGTTTCAAGCGCGAAATAAATAACATTGGTAGAGTCGGTTTCTCGGCCGTTCTGCCAGATAATTTAGAGAAAAAGAGAAGTCGCGAGAGCCCCGATAAAAATAGTGCTAATAAAAAAATAAACCGCCTCACAAATTACTGGCTTAACTCAAGCTCAATAATAACAAAAAGTCGCTTTGAAAATCTCTCCGTGGATGACGAAGGCGAGAAAGAAGAAAAAGAAGATTAAACTGAAAATTCTAGTCAAGCAAGCGTAGTCGCCGAAGCTAGGAAAAAGTCACCCCCGATATTCATATCTGATGTAAAAAATATCAAACCACTTAAACAAGCTCTTGATCTTATAGCCCTGAAAAAATAACTTTTTAAAACACTAGCAAATGATCAAATTAGAGTCCAGCCAAATTTTTCGGAACTAAATCTCCCAATTATCACCATGCTGAAAGAAAATGATACACATTTCTATACATACCAGCTCAAAGAAGACAAACCGTACAGAGTAGTACTAAAAAACGTACACCCATGTACAGACATAAGTGAAATAAAAAAGGAAATGGAAGATCTAGGACACACTGTGACTAGAATCACAAATATCCAGCAGCACATCACTCGCAAGGCTCTGCCGATGTTCTTTGTTGATCTGAAGGTAGCAAAAAATAACAAGGAAATCTATGAGGTATCATGCCTGCTAAATATGATAGTGGCGTTCGAGCCCCCCAGAAAACAATGAGAGTTGCCACAGTGCATGAGATGTCAAGAACATGGGCACACAAAAAACTACTGCTAGAATCTGCCAGTCTGCGTCAAATGTGCAGGAAATCATTTGACCTCAGAGTGTAACATCAAGTCTAAAACAAGTAATGTCAAATGTGCAAACTGCGGCGGAAATCATCCAGCCAGCTGCAAGGGCTGTCTTAAGAGAAAGGAGCTAATAAGAAAATTGTACCCTGCTCTGCGAACAAAGAGTTTAGAAGCTACTGCTGTAGACTCGCCTCCGTCACAGGTATCGGCTGCCTCAAACCTCGCCGATAGAAGTCAAAAAATTATAATTACACGTACGCAAACGTCTTGTCGATAGGAAAAGAGTCAAGTATCTCCCATGAACAGCAAGACAACCACTCAAATCAAACAACCCGACAACAGTCAACAAACTTGAACAATAACAAGCTCGAAGAAATGATGGCTCAGCTAATAAATCGTATGGATACTATGCTAAATCTAATCACTAGTCTTATAATCAAAATTCAAAATGGCAAATAAGTATAAAGTCGTACTATAGAATGCTAACAGCCTGGCTCGCAGAAGCCTGGAATTTAAAAAATTTGTCATAGAGCAAGTCATCGATATCCTGCTGCTGTCAGATCGTCTGTGCAACTCGTTTCACGGACAAAAATTACGTCTCTATGCCAAATTACTCTTTCTACAATACAAACCACCCAGATGGCACAGTTCATGAAGGCACTGCTATACTAATAAAATCAAACTTGAATCATCATTTCTCAGAAAAACACAGCCACGATTATCTACAAGCTACGTCCATCGTGGTTGAAGACTGGGCAGGTAGTATAGCTGTATCAGCTATCTACTGCCCTCCATCATACGTGATAAAAAACACACAGTTCGAAGCATTCTTTGCCAAACAAGGCCATCGATTTCTTTGCGGAACGCTAAGCATCCATGGTGGGGATCAAGACTCCTGATACTGACACCTAGACGCAGACAACTCCACGAAGAAATTCAAAACCAAAATTGCTTCATAATCTCCACTGGCGAGCCTACATCGTGGCCGTCCGATCCAAACAAAAGACCAGACCTGATTGATTTTGCAATTGCAAAGGGCATCAATAAAAAATTCTCTGCGCGTTCCAGCCTCGATCTAACGTCCGATCACTCTCCCGTCATTATCACCATTGATTTGCCACTAAAAACCACGCTCCGTACAAGAAAGAAAATCAAATGGAAGAGTTCAAAGAAATAGTTTCGGAGAGACTGCATTGTGGCATTCACCTTTGAAGGTGCAAGATCTTGAGAGTAGTATTAAATCCTTCAATGAGACTCTACAATTCGCAGTATCCGATGCAACTACTACAACAGTGATAATCCATAAACAAGGCCTGATACCCAACGAAATTGAAGCAAAAATCAAAGAAAAAAGAAAATTAAGAAAAGTCTGGCAGTCAACTAGAAGTACCGCAAATAAAAGGAGACTAAACAAAGCAATAAGGGAACTTAAGGGAACTAAGGGAACTCTTCAAGTGAATCTTCGAGATATATCTAGCTCTTCGCCACCGATCTAGAATTATATCCATGTTCTTACACGGATATCCGTCTTTTTAGGTTACTTTCTTCAAGTCTCGATAGTCAACGCAAAATTGACATGACCCATCTGACTTTTTTACAAGCACCGGTGCGCTATTTCATTCACTCTTAGTAGCTTCAATGATACCTTCCTTTTTCATTCTCGTTCTATGGCACACTCGCTTCGCACCCTCCACCAATTTCATTCGGTGGACAATTTAGTCCGTATGACCTAGTTTCGGCCCTACGTCGGGTATCAACCTCTTAATTTTTCTCTCAATAAGCTCTCTTTCTTTACCACGCACGGTAATAACAGCACACTCGGCTACAATATTGCATCTCATTAACCCTGCATCGTTCAATTTGGCAAAGTCCATCACCGGAAAGCCACTGATTTCGACCCATGGATATATCAACTCTCCATCGACGTCCAAAATCTACGCCCAAGACCATCTCGACTGGCAGAATCTGTGTAGATTCGATGTCGATTCGGTTAGCTTCTCGGTCGATTTATAGCATAACTGGCAAATATCCCTCAGACGGCTGTGTTTGCTGTTTGCGTATCCTATGGAGGACATAGACGGTCTAATTCTCTCCGCCAAGTCTCTCATCATACGAGGTCCCGCTAAACAACACTGTGCCCCACTATCAAACAAAGCCTTGTACGTAAATAGACCCTTCTCGTACATCTACGAAAAAACGATTCTACTTCGTCATCGTTGTTATATCCAGGTAAATAATCGATCTAGTCTGTACACGTTGTCTGACTCTTGCGGCTCGTGTATTTATGCAATTGTTGAAACAATGGCCCCCTCCTCCGGACCACTATCGGTTCCATCCTGTTCATCAGGCATTGAAGTCTCCAGCGCCACCATGTATACGCAGTCCGAAAATTCTATATCTTCATCACTGTTATAATCTCCAGATACCAGCGACTGAGTTTGGACACAAAATACTTGCAAATATAGCAATAAAACGCTATTTGTCGTTTTCCTTCCCTCTTTTCTTAGCCCAAATAATAACATTTTTTATCTCAATTTTAGGTTAGTATCAAAAGTTGAAGAGTATGAAGAAATTAATAAACTCTACTTACAATGATACAAACAAAAATATATTTATTTAATAGTATAGTGTGCGGTAAAATTTCTAGTATTTTATGAAATATTATGCTTGTTATTTATGCACTTTTCATATACTATTCTATAAAATGTTGTATAAGACATGTTCCTAGCTTGGACCACATACCGATTGACGCTAGCCCTCGTCTATAAACTGTACCCAAAAACGTCTTTTCAACACTTTTTGCATAAATAACTAATATAAAATAAAATACATATTATTTGATTTAAGAAATATATTTATTTTTCAGTAAAAGAAGCCAAATTCACAACAATAAACGGTAAGTTATTTAAACTAGAGCTTTATCCTCACTTGTTACCGCTCATTTTGTATTTTAGACTTTTTTAAAGGGGGAAAAGTACCTAAAATCTCAAAAAAAAATATTTTTCTATTGGTGCGAAAGTCGAGTTTAGTGGTTTCTTTGCTTCAATATTGCACGTGCTGCAGTTTTTCACGGTGAATTCGATGTTGTGATCTAATTCTGATCACCTCTTAACTACTAAGGTAACTTAAAAGTTTATTAACCCCAGGAAAGAAGCTAATTCTTTCTCATTCGACGCTATCGGCACATTTACCGTGACGTATACTTTGGATTTTGATTTGTGCAATCTGTCCTTGTCAGTTACGTAACCCAACACATGAAGTTTGTCTTGCATAAATTTGCTTTTGTCGGTGTTGATGCGGAGATTTCAATTTTGCAGTCTTTCTTCTTAGGTTATTGTGCTACTCACTTAGTGTATGCGCTACATGTCGTTCCTTGAATGCGACTGGCTTAGCATCGGCTTGCAAGTATATTTTGGTTTTGCTTTTATTTACCTGAAAAATCATTGAAAATTTTTAGTTTATCAATTTTGATTACTGCGATATTATTCCGTTCTTCGATGCACAACGGCCAGCACTCGAATGCCGGAAGCCATTCACGACCGATCAAAGTAGGGGCCAATCCCCAATAAAACATAGCAATCAAGCGTGCGGGTTTTCTTTCTAAACGTTACTTTCAATTTTGTTATTTTACCGATCGGACTCATTATGGTTCTATCGTACCCACTCAAATCTACCGGTGTATCGGGAAACTTCGCCTTCGTAAATTTTTCGCGCCAGATTTTATTTGAAATTACAGATTTGTATGTGCCATAATCGACTGCCATTTTCGTATTTACGTCGTTTATACGTACGTCGATATACATCGGCGCGCCGTCCCAATCTCCACTTTCAAAATGTTTGTTTACAAAATTATTTTCGACTATATTGAGCGTGTAGAAATCTTCATGATGATCCTCGAAAGATCAAACGGACTGCGCCGCATCTTCGTCCACGTCGCTGTCTTGCTTGCTGCCTGTAACTCGACCTCTTGCGATGGCTATTATCATGGCCGATAGCAAGTACATCTTGCTGGTGGTTAATCCCCACGTTGCTTTGAGCATTTTTGTGTGCCATTTCTCGCACGATTGCGCTTTACGCCAATTTCTTCAAACGTGCGGTAAAATCGGCAATGCTTTCGCCTTGTTCTTGGCTTGCTTTGTAGAAATTATTTCGTTCCATCAGTTCAGACGGTTTAGGCTCGAAGTGATTTGCCATGAGCTTCGTGAGCTCCTCGTATTTTTTTTCGGATAGCTTTTGCGGCGCACAAAGATTTTTATTAAGCTCATACGCGTCTGTGTCCATTGAGGTGAGCAGTATGGCCGCCTTCTACGCGTCGATAGTTGTGTCCCGAGCCAGAAACTGAAACTCAAGGCGCTCGACGAATGTTTCCCGTTTGTCTTTATTAAGGAAAATTTTATTCGTGTACTGTTCTCCGCCATGTTTTTTTTTTTATAGTCTTTTATTTTGCATAATAAATCGTACATAATTTACAAATCAGAATTTAGCGATATTTAAAAGACATCACTGTTGGAGGACCAGGAGAGGGGTCAACGTGACAACCGAGAGTTGAAACCGGAATCAGTCGCTAGACATTACTTCGGTGATAGTTCTCCGCGTTGTTATCACTATCCGAGTCGTACTCTTTTTTTTTTCTTCTACCTCACCGTATTCGGACACTCACCGGTAACCGCCGCTAGGCATTGCTTCGGTGAGGCCGGGGTTAGTTGAGCATTTCTGCTACTTCCATGTTAGTCGTTGTTTTTCATACGTCCCCCATCCGTCGCATAGTGACATGCGACGATTAGGGGTTCAGGGACTCATCTTTTCAAACTTGGTGAACCTCCGATCCTGCGCGATGCCATCTCTCGATTGTCGTGTCACACATTGCTGGCATCTCTTTCTGAGTATTTTTAGAACTCGCTGTCTAGTGCCATCTTGTGAGTGTGGTTCTCGCTTCTGCCGTCGATGGCAAGTAGGCCGATTGCTCTGTCAGCTACATCTTGTGAGTGTGGTTCTCGCTTCAGGCGCCATCATGCGTGCTAGAGAAGCCTAGACTACTGCATTTGGCGCCCTCTTGCTAGTGTGGTTCTCCCTTTTGACTTTATCATGGGGGTGTTGTGCTCCATCTATTGCCAGCCTTGTGGGTCCTCGCCTTGGGCTCCTACTTATGGTTATCCTTTTCGCTTCCAGCTCGCACAGTGATCAGGGTTTTTTACTGCTTCGGAGGCTGATGACATGGCCCGGGTCTTCTTTTTGAGTGGTACCCACTCTACCTCGGGCACGGGCTCGACCACACCGGGCGAAAAAACGCCATCGAAAATTCGCCCAGTGGGGATCGAACCCACGCCTTACGGCACATCTTGTGGCTCCCCCCCACTTTCCTGACTCCGCTTTCACGACAACCAATTTCACGACAATTATTTTTCCCGACAATCGAAAATCCCGAATCCAATTTCACGACAACCATTTTCCCGAATAAAATTTCCCGACAACCATTTTCACAAGTATTTCAAAATTGGAACATATGATGATGGCCCTAGCTTATATTCTCGTAGACGATGTGTTGCCAACATTTAAAGATTTAAAAAAAGAAGCTCCAAGTGCACTAAAGACTGTATTCAATTACTTCTCCGAATACTATATTACTAGCGAAATACCTCGCTTGCTAACGCTCGCTCGGTTAGTCATAATATAACTAAGACCGGTAAAGAAGCATGGTTTATACGTAGTATATATAAGATATATAGAAATAATATGTTTATACTTATATTTAATTATTTTAAAAATATATGCTTTTCATGTACCTAATATGTATGATTTATATATAATACAAATTATATTAGACCTTGGATGAACCGCATATGTAAAATATTGATATTTTTACATTACCTATAAATATCCAGTATATAGATTACATATAGTGTTTGTGCGTTCGCGCGAGAGAGATTCTTTAATGTTTCATGGACTAAAATCATTAATATATTATTTCACGAGTATGCTTAAAAATAATTATATTTTAACAGAAAAATAATAAATTTTCACGAGATTTAATGTAGGGAAGTTAAGAAAATATTGTATGGATCTTGGGAATTATAATTTCCAATACTTAAATAGAAATAAAAGATAATACATGAATAATGTTTAAAATTAAATATATATTATATAAGTCTATTTGCAATTATCATCACAATATTTTATTGATGAAATAAAAGTATTTAATTCGTTTGTTAACATTTTCATAAACTACTCGTCAATTGAGAGTATATACATAACAGAATACAAGTCGAAAAAATTAAAAAAAAAAAATAAAAAAAATCGTATCGCAAAAAACTTATTCAGATATATGGTAATAATACCGGATAAATACTTTATAAGTAATTATTATAAATATCTTTTAATCATTGAATTTAACACTAAATGAAAAATGAAATAAAAGAGAGATGCTTCAAAGCAAAATCTGTAAGCGAAGAACATAATATTAATAATAAAAAAATGATCTGCTTAAAGAGCAGTCGAGAAAAAATGAAAAAAAAATGAAAAAAAAATTGCATTGAAAAAATCAAAAACATAAATTAATGTAAGTTACATTAACTCAATACTTCACATACGTTAAGTACGGTCAAAATATTTTACGAGGACATTTAACAATTAACACGTTATAACAACTGTCATTAGTAAAGATTTGATTTAACCGGCGGTAATCTCAAACGTCGTGGAAGCATGTACCGTTATGCTGGCGATGTCTTGGTAAAGATGAACTGATGATGATGAACTGATATCATACAATATATAGTCTTCTTTAAGGGGACCGACCTGTGTTAAAAGCTTAAATTCAAAAAATAGCTATATAAATCGAAATAGTGGAAATTTTTTTTTTGTGATCGTAAAATATGTTTATTAGACACCTGATTGACCAAAAAAAAATTCTATCCAAGCTCTGAAATGCCAATTACGCTTATTTTTTCATAATACTAAATATTATAATAGGATTCACTTGCCACGCGATTCTGACGTGAGCTTTTCATCAATATTGATCTATGGGGTCTCAAAATCTTCAGAAAAGTACCCTCATCCACTTAAGCGGAGCAGAATTTGAAAAAAAAAGTTTGTTTTTCTTCCAAGAGCTTTAATATGGCTTCTAGTGTTGATAAAATACTAATTTTCTCAAAAATTGGCACATTTTGACGTGTATATAAAGTTGTACGCAATTTTTCAAAATTCTGCTCCGCTTAGGTGGACG